GCGGTTTCATTAGCTCAATACGTGAGTTATTGAACCCGTCCGCAAGCTTCTCAATAAAGCCTGCTTCTAAAACTTTACCAATTGGATCTTTAATTCCGCTTCGCGCCCCAAAAACCATTACAGGAGGCACCCCAAGAATGAGGGTTCCAGGGGTTTATGTGTCAGGGATGGGTGCCTGGGGGTGTCGGTGTCCCCGGGGTTGGGGGCATCCCAAGGATGGGAGCACATGGGAAGGGGTCACCCCTAGGGGGGTGTCCAGGGATGAGTAACTTGTGGGTGGGTGTCCCGGGCTGGGGTGCACCCAACTCAAGTTCAGGTCTGTCTCTTGGGCACCCTCGCCCACGTGCAATGACGGGTATAGAACCTCTGTTGGTCCTGCTTCTGTGGGCCCCGCCCAACAATTGCGCTCAAAGAAACCCTTGAGGCTACCCCTGCCCCTCCTAATACCTGTATGTGGGGGAGGGGGGTGGTAGGGGAGCCGCGTTCAGAGCTTGAGGGAGGGGTGCCTAGCATGACAAGCCTCACTTCCCTGTCTGCAAGGAGCACTCAGAGCGTGGATGGGACAGAAGTGGGTACCCAGTGGGGGAACCCTGCTTCAGCTCAGAACCCTGGTGTGAACCCTGAAAGCCAATTCTATACATTCCCCAGGCCCTTTTCCTCTGGAATATTCTGGAAAGTGTGTGTCCCAATGTTATATGCCTAGGAAGTTTAGAGTCCACTGTAATGCTGTGAAGTTAAATTAGGAGTCTTTATTAAGCTGGCGGCTACCAAGAGGACTAAAATCCCTAAGCCTCAGATAGCAGTTAGGCAGGGCGTATAAAGGCAAAAACCCTATCTTGTTTTTTCAAGCTGAAAAGTACAAGGCTCCAGCTGCATCATCTTTCCACCCTGATTAGTCTACAATAACATCCTGGTACAGGATAAAGAGTTATTTCCAGGCTACAAACAGGCTGGAGAATTAGCAGGACAGCTTGACATAGCAAGCTACCAACAAGGCAGTGGGTTAGGGGGACATGGCCTTAAGACAAGATGGCATCACCTACCTTTCCCTGGGTTGGGGGCATAGGCCAGAATATTGGGGGTAGGCTAGAACAGCAGCAGCAGCTTTGGTTGGCAGGGCCTTCTGAGTACTTTGTCTCTGGTTGTCCCCAGAACTCTACACTGTCAGCTTGGAGCTGCCCCCTAGGGAGGAATGAGGGAGACCACCCCACCACAGGCACAGCCTTCCTGGTGCCTTGTGGGAAACAGAAGCAGGAAGAGAGTGGATGCAGACAAACTCAACATTCAGAGGTTAAGGAGTCTGGGAGGACAGGGCTCCCATGGAGGGAACTGTAATGTTTGTTTGTCACCCTCAATCAGACCCTCTTGTCTGTCCCACCCTAAGTAGGGCCCACTCCCTTCTGATATGGATCATAGATTGTTCCTACCCTGGAGAAGAAGACCTCTCAGGTCAAACCAGCTCAGAGACAACCAAGGTTAGGCTGCTTCTTGACTAGAGCCTGCCCATCTTGGTATCTATGCGCTGCCCTGTCACATGCGTGCCTCTCTCGTGCCTCCCTCTTTCATTGTATGTACACCCCTAGCTCGTCCCCCATGTGTGCCGTGTATGCTTTTAATCCAACCCCTTCCTGTTACATATGTGTTTACCATGGCCTGCTTGTTAAGATTATATAGAAACTCATGATATTACATTACAGCTTGGACCTGGATCTTGAAGCAATAGTGGAGGTGAGCCCTTGTCTGCTTAATCTTGTCTGTTGTCTCTTTAATTTACCCCTCAATTACACAACCGCCCCTTGGACCCATTCAGTTGTGGAAGCTGTCCTATAGGGTCACTTTAAGTGTGAGTCATCTATAGCCTTATGCAAACGGGCTGCTCAGACAGAATTCAGGCTCCAATACAACCCCGGCAGAAGACTGACTGACTGAGGCAATAGCCCCAGAGCCCTTGCTAGGGGAGAGGCAGTCAGGGCCAAGAGATGACTTCCCTCCTCACTGGGGAGAGAGTAGACATTGTGAAGCCAGGAGAAGACAAGATGTGACGGGGAGTCACTGAAGCGCATGCTTTAGGGTGCAAAAGAGACCTCCCTCAAATATAATTTAAGGAGAACATTTATTACATCTTTAAAGAGACAGACACAGACACCACCCAGATGAGGGGAGCTGTTCGCAAGACCCACCCACCACCCTATAAGGACTGACTAAGGCTTATGAACACATTGCAAAGAGGGAGACCACCCACCACAGGGCCCTAGGGGCTCATCACAAGTGAATTCAGCTTTTGGGGGGGGTCTTATGTGAAACTAGATGGAGACCACCTACTGACCTGATGGACCAAGAGGGAAGGTGTGAGCTGTGGAACAGAGCTAGGCACTCTGGTGAGTCCCAGGACTTGGAGAGGAGGAGAGAGGAGGGTCCCAGCTATAAATACATCTTCTTGTACCTGGGGTCTCCCTATCTTCAGGAACTGATTTAGAGGATGGAAGAGTTCAGATGGGCTCAAGGCCCCACAGCACCAAGCGCCTCAGTTGGCGGTCCAGGGTGGAAAGGTGTCTATTAAACAAGTATCGTCAGAAGAGGGTCAGCCTGTGATGAGTTGGCCTGACCCCTCTGGCCGGACAGTGGGGGTTCACAGTGCTGTGTGGAAGGCTTGGGGGCCGCGGCCCTGGTAAAATAGGCCAAGGAGGACCCCCACACACACCCAGTCTGGGGAGGTGGTATGGCTTCAGGGTAGAGCATTTGAGTGCCGACCTAGAGGTCCCAGGTTCTAATCTGCATGTCCACTGCCAGCTGTCTTGTACTTTCCTGACCTGGCATCCTGCTCTCTAGAAACCTAGGCCACCCAGCACTGGACCCTGCTCTTGGTGTCATCCAGCCTGCTGAGGTATAGAGTGGTGGGTAGACGTTCCGGCCCCGCTTCTTCTCTCACCGTCACCCCCTCACCACCACCACCATGCCAGTGACTAGTGTCTCCGAGCATGCGAACAGTCTGGACCAATCGGGAGACAGAAGCGTAAGACTAGCTTAAACTCTGGGTGGGGGTGGGGGGTTAGAACTCGGACTGCAGTGTTTCTCAACTTTCCTAAGGCTGCGACCCTTTAATACAGTTCCTCATGTTGTGGTGACCCCCTAACTATAAAATTATTTTCGTCGCTACTTCATACCTGTAATTTTGCTACTGTTCTGAATCAGGTGACCCCTGTGAAAGGGTCCTTCGACCCCAGGGTGAGAACCGTTGATAGAGCAGGATTGAGCTCCTCAGAAAGACTGGGCAAGGATCAAAGGAAACGCTGCAGGCTGCCCTCTGGTGGAGGGAGAGTAGCACAGCACAGACAAGCCCAGGGGGACCCCGGGCCAGGGTTCAGAACTGGTGCCGGGCTGATGGCTGCGCGACTTGGCTAAGCAAGCAGGCCCTGTCTGCAGGAGTGGTCTGTGGAGAGACCTACTAAAGCTGGTGGGTAGGGGAGCTGGGGCACACATTTCAAGGGGGACTGGCTGGGTATGGAAAGATGGTCACCAGCCTCTAGGGCTATAAAGCCGTGACTACTCTGTGTCCGAGAATTACCCCACCCTCCTACACGCGCACCACTGGCCAAGCCCAGA